CATTCACACATTCGCTATCTTTTCCTTTTCCCCCTGGTTGAATTTCCAGAGTGCTCAGGATCATCATCAAGTTAAAAGGACTGCTTGGGATAATTTCAACGAGAATCCATAGTTGAATCAATGGCAGTAAGCTCCCTGGTCTCCTAGGGCAGTGAACTCCAAACCATAACATTTATCCCATCATGCTTAATGGTTGATATGGGGATCGCTTCCTGAAAAGCTGCCTGTCTTTAATCTGTCTTTCCAGAGGACATTTTTCTAAAGGGCCTGTTGTTCTCTGGTAAAATGTAGCTTTGCTCTAATGTGCTTTTTGGACATCAAATGTGGTTCCTGGCAATCCTCTCGTTCAGATCAAATTCAGGCAAACCCTCTGTGATTGTTGATGCCTACAGATCCCAGGATCTGTAGGCATCAACACTTCTCTTTGCTTTTCTGTCAATTAAACTCCTGGACAAATTGTTTCCAATTTTGCACCATTTCTTGATGATTTTTCTTAAAATTGAATGATTCATTCACATACTGTATTTTGAAGGTATTTTTAAAATTCCCGTGTGAGACTAACATGCATGCAGTGTGGCGACTACCTGGTAACGTGTAGAAGTTTATGTGTAATAACCAGTAATCCGTCCATCAGAACCCAAAACTACACATTTCCATACATTTCATAGTGATAGTTCCTACAACTGAAAATGTAGGACCAGAAATTATCTTTGTAAAGAGTTATTATTATGAATGAAACAATATTTTACATTACTGTGATGTGAATAAATAACAACAGCAATACAGGCTGAATGATGGTCTAACTTCATATCATAGTTCTCAAAAATATCTACTGATGTGCAAATACAAGACACTGTAGCTCCCCAAACCATGCTCTGATCACAGTACAAGAGGTATAAAGGTACTAAAATCAAGAATTACTATATTTTAACATAATGACCATAACAATTTATCTTTAAATTAATTTTAGTTTACATTAATAATGACATTCAGTCATCAATACTATTTTAATAATTAACTTATTAACGGTCATCTTTGGTTAGGGGTCATTGGAAAATCTACTCAACATGAAATAATAGGTTTGTTACAACCTAACATTTACAGTTGCCCTTACAGCAAAATAATCTGAATATAATGTAATGTATATAGGCTTAGTTCCTGTAAATCACACTTTAGCAATACTAACATTTTTCTAGCATATAAGATAAATGCCAGACAAACATGCTGTGATGCAGTTTTGCAGATTTACATTGTGTCGCTTGCAAATACAGAAAATCTATGAGGAGTCTTAATAATTTTATTTGGCATTGTTCACGACATGAAACAAAATCATAACCAACCCTGGGTCCACATGAACCATGTGCTATTAAGACCAAAACGATCTAATTTTCCTTTCTTTGGAAGTTTCTTTTCACCGTGTTGCCTGTTCTTCCACCAAACCTCCCTACTACCCTTTCAAAATAAAAGCCCCACGCTTGACAACAGACTAACAGGGCTAACTAACAGTCAATAGGTTATTAACACAGAGGTAAATAAAGGGAGGCATTCTTGTATTTTGTGGCCCTCATTCCTGGTTATTTCACAAAAAGTACCACACTTGTTTCCATAATGTTTCCATAGTTACCTTTAAACAAAGAAGAACACTGGAGACATAATGTAGTGTTAATTCCAGCATTATAATATTTTAATAGGTTAATGATTACCTTTGTGTTTCCAGCTTACTATGCCACTATTACTACATTATTACGGCGTTGTAATTGAAAGTACTACTGGCACCTAATCTGAATTCTCTGGATATGAATATATCATAGATGCAGGGGTGTAACTCTTTTTCCTTGTGAAAAATCTATTCAGCTTACTGCTTACCCTAGTTAGGGTCTGTGGATTTGAGACTATCCCAGCTGCCACAGGGTGAAAGGTGAGGTACACCCTTAATACGCCCATCCACGCTTATGGCCAATTTAAAATCCCCAGTTGGTGTCTTTAGACTCTGATGGAAAACTGGAGCATCCAGAGAAAACCCCTGCAGACAAAAGTAGAAGATAGAGCTAAACCTTCTTTCTGTGAGGCAAGATTATCCATTGTCTCTGCAATTTACAGTTCTTTTTCACATAACTGTACTTGCTGTAGCTTACGGCCATCTTTTCAAAGAATTTGTGAAGTTGCACTCCAAATAGATGTTGAGCATGGATGAAGCTAGATAAAGAAACTAGATGAGGAAACTGAGAATAAGACTGGCTCTACAAAATGAAACCCCACCAGCTGGTTTCCTGCTTTCTTAGTTTCTCTTGTGAAATACTGATTTGGTTTCCTTTAGCAACAAGTTTGTTTGTTTGTTTGTTTGTTTGTTATATAAAAAAGAAAGAGAAACACTCGACTGACAACTTGGATAACATTTTAAAGGCTCAGAACACATGTAATGGGAAATTTGTGGTCTCAGTGCTTTTACATGCCAGCAGTCCTCTACTGTAATTTTGACTTTCACATAAGTGCTAGGGCTGATTTTAGAGGTAGGTCAAACCTCAGGGCTGATAGGAAGATAAATAACGGATACCGAAGTCTGAGAAAAGCAGAAAAACAATGAATTGATATACCTTTATTAGTCCCACAAGGGGAAATTTCATGAGTAATTCTTGGAATGAAAACATTTGTGACACTATCCTTTACATTAGTTGTTATTGTTGTTTCTCCCAAGGAATTCTGACGCATTAAAAGTGTGACTCGTTTAATCTGTTTCCTCCACCTCGTACCTTCGGATGTTTCCTCCCTTTGTTTCTCTCAGACACATTTATACCCTGTCTCACTTCCCTGAGCTGTCACTGGACTTTGACTCAACTGTTATAGTTAATCAATCATTAAAAGCATGAAGCAATTTCAAGCAAACTACTATTACCACTGATATCAAAAGTAACAGCCAGAATTTGGTAGGTTTTGAGTAGTTTGACATGCCAGTGACAGTTAGTAGCTGACCACAGAGAAACACAGAGGGAAGACAGCCAGCAGGACACAAATAGTCCCCGTTTTGAAAAAGAAGTGCAGACAATGCAAAATGTGGGTGGTACAAAGCCCAGAGGAGTTTTATGTTTTATTCAACAGGAAAGTTAAACTCCAAGAAAATTCCTAAGGGCAGTGAGGCACTCACAGAACTTTGGAAAGAAGTTTAGTCATGAAGAAGTAAGAAAAAGCCCAGAGCCATGTGTGGGCACTGGAACAGAAATCTGTGTGCACTCTAGCTGATTTTTTAAATTAGCCAGTAGCACCTGTTAGCCTAGATACAGGTATGAATATAACAGATCACATGTGCCATCTGATGATCTCATCATGATGGAACAAGGAGTTCATGTCTGATATTTCACCACATCCATAAGAATAAAGAATGTCACAAAAAAGCCTTTAAAAATGAACATGGACACAGTACAAATGTTAGTAAGTGCCACTCTGAAACAAAAGAATCTGAATACATCAGGTTGGCCTCTCAGGATGAACTGCTACAACAGAGGGCTGTGCAGCAGCAGAATGAAACAGATTAGAAAGAAGAGGAAATGTTGTGGAGGACCAAGCCCATCCATGGGATGTAATATTAGCAAATAGAGGAAGTGACGGACATCGAATCCTGTGAGTAGCTGGAAAAGTCTAGCCAGTACCATAGTACAGAGGCTCTGATCGTGGCAGCATCAATAACCCAGCACCAGATTAATATTCAACCAAGCTAAGGCGCACCCCGGGTGAATGTGGTCCTGACGATCCACATAGAAATAAGGTTTAATTTGCAATTTATCATCAGAAAGTATTAGCACCTCTATTAAAAAAAATAAATATTTTTTTTGCAGTTTGCGGATATAGAGCATAATACTGTGATAAAAAAGAAATTGTAAAACACCCAACAGCTAAATCTCACACTCTACAGGCCACAGTTAGCATGTTAGATGTTAAAGTTGATGACAATTAGAAAAAGGCTGAACAAGTATGGCTTTTCTCTAAAAAGAACATGACTGCACGTCGTAGGTTTGCTAAGTTGCATCTGAAACCACAATACTTCTGGCACAATGTCCTTCAGACAGATAAGATCAAAGTGGAGCTATTTGGTCATAAAGTGCAGCATAAACACAGCATATCAGCACAAACACCTTGTACCAACTTTCCAGTGAAGGTGTGTTGATTTGGGCTTGTTTTGCAGCCACAGGCTTTGGGCACCTTGCAATCATGAAGTCGACCGTGAACTCCTCTGTGTACCATATTCTAGAGTCAAAGATGAGGCCATCTGTCTGACTGACTTGGCAGAAATTTGGTCATGCAGCAGAGCAATGACCAGAACAGAATGCAACGGAATGGTTGAAAAAACAAAGTCAAGGTGTTGCAATGACCCAGTTAAAATACAGACTTCAACCTGACTGAAATACTGTGGTGGGACCTTAAGAGCGCTGCAAATGCCTGCAAACCTCAGTGAAATGAAGCAAAGTTGTAAAGAGTAGTAGGTAAAAGTGTTGATGTGATTTGGCGCTATATAAATAAAATAAAATAAATCTGAATTTAAAACTTCCTCCACAGCAATGTGAGAAACTGATAGAGTCCAACACAAAAGGATTACTTCAAGTGATACATGTAGTTCTGTTGAATTACAGGGTGTACTTAGTTTTTCCGAGGACTGCAGTAAGACTTGTTAAAAGCTTTTTCACGTGACTATATGTGGCGATCCCAGCTGATAGGAACATCAGAAAAAAGGATTTGTTCCTAGATTTTTCTCTCTTGCTTGAATGTTCATAATCAAAAATCAGGATCTAACGATTCCCTCATTTTTTCAGCTTTTAATTTGTTTCCATCTTAGAGGCCACTAAATGCCCATCGCATTGCCACCAACGCACGGAGGCGCTAGATCACTTAAAGCATCGATCCTGTCCCTGCATTGACTTGAACAATTTGACATCAGACATGTAACTCGTTCAGATCCCCCCCCCCCTCCTTCTCCACCACTCTCACTCTTTCCCTCTCTCTCTCTCTCACTGTCCCTCTCTTTCCCTGTCTGTCTCTCTCTCCTTGTCTTCAGCTGCATGTCTCTCAGTCAGTCAGTCAGTCAGTGAGTTGCCCGGGTCCGCTACGCCTGCGTCCGCCTCCGCAGCTCTCCAAAGCCGAGACGCGCCACCACCGCCGTCATTGCGGGCATGACATACTGGCATCAGTAGTGGGCTTCCGTCAGGCTGCTTTTAAGAAAATTACAAAGGAGAGGAAGAGATACAAGAGTAGAGGAGAGTGAAGTGACTCATTTCCACCCGAGCTTGTGCGTTGAGAAGAGTAGATGAGCCAATGGCTGGGGCACAGCCGGGAGTTCATGCGCTGCAGCTCAAGCCAGTGTCCGTACCCGAGAGCCTAAGAAAGGGCAACAAATTTATGAAATGGGATGATGTAAGTAGTGGCCAGACAGGCCAGCGATGAATGTCTTTTTTTTCCTCCCCAGTTTTCACTGTCAGATCATTTTCTGCACGCGTTTTGCATGTACACAGTCTGTGTATTACACAATCTATAGGCTACTCGTGCAACAGTAGCCGATAGATTTAATTGTAAGTGGAAACCGCACGGACAAGAAGCTAATTGCGTTGGACTTCCTGCTTAGTGGTTGAAAGAAATGCTACAGCTACAGTGTCTACTGACATGTGCTTTCTTTACATTGTCCAATGTACAGTATTTGTATTTGTGCGCGCCAGTGGGTGCACGCGTGTACCGCTGCTTGTGTGTGAGAATGTGCGCACCCTCATCTAATCAAACACTAACCCCCCTGCGTTAGAAACGTTTTTATCAATTAACCACAATTAATTAGTGCACTGACATTCAACATGCAAATCTAAGCACAACAGTTGGTCATTAAAAAAAAGAAAAATATTTTGGGAATTTTTATTTTGGTAGCATCTCTATATAAAATGTCGGTCCAGCTGTAGTAAAATGACCTTGATTGAACTGATTTCACACTGCTCTTGAGTAAAACATAATAGTAATAGCCTTCTAGCAACAGAGGCTATGGCCACACTATGTGGCACATTGCTTTCCCAGGCAATAAATCAACACAAATCAACACTCCCTCTAATAATCTTGTGGCAAGTTCACAACTGAACTGCGCTCTGAACTGAGTTTAACATGGCTTGATGGTTATTTGCATCTTCTGTACCTTAATTTTTACAGCAGCTGCATTCAGAAAGAGCTGGAATAGCTGTTTTCACACCCCATGCCATTTGAATATCCACTTGTTACTCTGGTTTATGAGTGAATATCTGAATTTTGTCACAGTCCCCATTACTTTCGTTCTGGGAAATCTGTTAATTTTAAACCGCTCTGTGAAAATGCTGAGGGCTTAGCCCACCTGTAACTCATTTTTACAGTGCCTTGACTTTTCTAATACTGTAGACAATGAGGAATCGGTTACTAAGATACACTCTTTCTAAGATCATCCTCTCAAATACATGCTCAGAATCACTCAGCTCAGGTGAGCCAAGTGCAGCACAGATGGCATTAGTCTTGCAGTGTTATGGAAGTGTGAATGCGGTCAGTACAGACTGCAGAGAGGAAATTATGCACACTTGCAAGTCCACCATTCTGTCAATCATCAACCTTAAGCTTAAATAAGAAAGTTTCCTTAACTAGTAACTACTAATGAGCGCCCATTCCTTCAGCTCATTAGATGCGACTCAGTTTCCCCTTTCACAGCCGTGTTTGTGTACTTTTAGCATGTACATTCAGGACTATCGTCAGACCCAAATGTCCACCAGGCCTTTCCTTGCAAAAACATATGACCTCAAACACAGGCATAGTCACAGGTACTTTCTCTGGTTCCTTTCCCATGCGCTCCTTCCTTCCTCTTTCCTCTCTGTATCATTTCATGGAAAGAATCACAGAGGATAAACAGCCAACCTGAGAGAGCAAAGCTAATAAATTTTCACTGGAGAAAGATTGAATTAAATCATTTTTCTTCTTTTTTATTGCTTTGGGTGTTGAGTTGAACATCTTTCAGCAGGAAATCGTACGGGCAGTAAATGAAAAATTATATGTATGTTCTTTAATTTATGGCTTTACTCTGGTGAAGATTTCTTGTTCTCTCAGTTGAAGTCACACATATATTCCAAAATGCTTAAACTCACCTGGGGAGTTGGGCAAAAAAACAGCGTGAAGTTCTGTGCTGCGTAGCCAGCAGCCACGAGTTTTGAGCAGCAGAGTGACTGCAGACTCCAGCACAGGATGCTTGCAGGTGGTTGTAAAGGAGCAGAAAAGCAATCAGAGAAGCTCTCCAAAGCCTCAAAGGCCTCAGACCTCCCCAACCTCCCTCCTACAGACGTGCGCAGACATCTTGTATTTTTGTTGCTGCCACTTGTCGACAGCTGGCTGCTTCTGTGGCTCATGAAATCCATGGGTACGGGTAAAATATTGCCTGGATGTGTTATTATTTGTCAGTTCAGATGGCACATTTAGCAATAATGACTGCTTTCCGTTGAGGCACAGGGAGCCATTCAGATTCTCCAGCACATACACACTTCATGTTATAAGGATCATTTACTGTACACCTGGGCATGGTGTCAAATTTGTGAAAGACGATGCTTGGTCTGTGTAAACAGAGACTTTTATGAGGTTATACTTATATCAACCCCTCTGGTTGGTTGTGCATTGAATAAGATATTATCAGGCTCCTCAGGGGAGCAGAAAATCCCTTAAAAGTAGTAGAATATGTCATTAGCATACAGAACAGAAATATGCTGAGCTCAAAACTCCCCTCTAACACACCCCCTCAGGCAGCAATGCTAATGGTACAGACTCTTCACTAAAAATAATGGAAGTGTCTCCTGCCTGGGATCAGTTCCTTCAGGGTGTTTGTACTTTCGCAAGTCAGTCACTAATCTCATCTTAATTCAGCAGAAAGCAGGCCACTCTGCTGCCTAATGTTGTCCCATTAAAGACAAATCCCTTAAAATAGTCCAATGACAATAAAAAAAACAAAAAAAACATTGGCGAGTACTATTCTGCCGGTAGTCACTCTGAAGTTAAATCCCACCTTTAAGTACTTCTTGTTTCTGTGTAAATGTGAAAACCCATGAGAAAATCTTTGCTAAGAGTCCATAATGGCTTAATGTGTTTGCAGTGGTGGCCATGGAGAGCTAGGACATTAAGAAAGAAGCTGGTGAAAATGACTGCTCTCACATCATTAGGCAGTTTCCCAGTGCTCTCGAGCCTTCTTCTTTTCTCAGACATGACAGACAATCCATCACTTGCATCGCATCTTATCCCCCGAATGACTTCTTGACTTGGTTTACTGGAAATATAAATGACTTGCTAAATATTCTTTGATCTAGCTCGCTATCATTTTCTTGAATTTTTCTAAAGATATTTATCTGTAAAAACTAAATTGGAAAAATTGGACTGTGGATGGTGAGCTGAGCAAAGATCATGAGATATGAGCCAGATTTGGTCTGAAATGCTATATCTAAGAACTGCAAACATGATGCTTTTCCCTTTCCTTTAGGCTATAAACTGTGTGTGTGTGTGTGTGTGTGTGTATGCGGCATGCATTCATTGACATGAACCGCATCTTTTGTCATTCAATCAAGCTTGCAAAGATTGTGCAATCATGTGAACAAAACCAAAACGATTCCTCTTGAGTCTCTAATAGATTTCATGAGAATGGTGGGTTGCCATAGCAAACGTCACCGTAGCAAATGCCTCTGATGCCTAACTGTTTCCAAAACCGAACGAGCCGCTCATTTACTTTCAGCTCACTTCCCTTCTTTCGTCTTTCCCCGTTTTCCGCTCCTCTCTTCCTCCTGTATTTTCACTGTTGGCCTATATTGGATAAACCATGGTTGTGACATTTAGACAGTATGAAATGACTGAAATGACTCATAATGGTTAAATACATTACAGCATAGGCTCCTTTGCTGTCTACCAGCCCAACCCTTTCCCAGCATCCTACGCTGCAAGTCGCATAAGGTCGCGCCCAAATAAGACAAGTGTGGAGCAGATGCAGACCATTAGCTCTGTCTCCAAATGCTCTGATAGGGACATCATTAGAAGCCTCATGAAGACACTTTGAAGATTTTCTTGCTCTGTGCAGCAAATGCGGTCCTCATCTCTCTGATCTTGCAGCCATGGCTGATTGAAGAGGACAATATGCTACTGTTCAGCTGAGCCACAGCCACTGTGGACACAGAAAAAAGGCAATGGCTCTTTCTTTCTTTTTATAGACACATCCAATAATATCTGGTGTTGCCATGTATGCCTCAGGGTCAAACTGTGTGTGTGTGTGTGTGTATGTGGGAGAGAGAGACTTGGAGCTATCTGTATGTAACTGTGGGAAAGCATTTGTCCATTACAAGAGGGGAAAATTGAAACATCAACTCCAAATCAACCTGCACTTCGTGATTGCAGTCACTGCAAACACACACGCACACCCCAGGCTGCTTGGTCATTTTGCGGTGATGCCAGGTCGTGGTGTGGAAAGTACCCTAAAAGGAAAGGATTGAGTGCATGTTTACAACATAAACAGCACTTTTGATGTCATTTCAAATTCTGGTATGCGAGTGGATAAAACAAACTATGCTTTGATCTTGGTTCCCTCGGAGAATTGTCTGCAGTGAGGTATTCACTCATGTTGAAATTCAGATGTTGATTTACAGATTTAAACAGACGCGTGTCTTTTCTTCTTCACGACAGGATTCAACCACTGTGACCCCGGTGACTCTGACAGTTGACCCCAAAGGTTACTTCCTGTATTGGACTGACCAGAGCAAGGTGAGACACCACGGCAGGAAGGCCAAATGGTTTGAAGCCTTCAAGCTGTTAAGATGTTTAAAGCCTCTTTTGTTGTCATCTGAATTTCATTTGATGATGAAATTCAGATTCGTGGGGCCAAATTTAAAGCTTATCACAGCAGCACCAACATCTCATCTCTGCACAGTGCTTTGTACCAGCCTGATATATAATAGACAGGCCAATGACCATTTCACGCGTTGCCTCTCCAAAACCTGAAATGTACAAGTAATGTACAAGTTGCCGCAAACTGCAGTAACAGCAGGGCGATATTTTATTTCAAGCTAACAGGAAAATAGTCACAGGAAAGTGTTTGAACAGACACTATTAAAACATTTACATTTATATACATATTAGCCACCTAACTTAATCATTTCTGCCGATAAAGGACCCTGCAATGTACGTAATACATTTTATGCTCACTACCGGCTTTGTGGCTTTAAATATATCTCCCCCTACTGGTAATGCAGTTTCTGCATGCAGGAACAGCTTCTGCGCTTTGCCTCTCCAGAACGTGAAATGGACACGGTGGACCGCCTGTTATGAGTTTTGTCATGATACTGGGTTGTTTGTATACGATACAGGACCTACCTGGACTGTCTGTACATAACTGATTGGCCAGCACAGTAAATTGTTATATATCTTATGACAGGCAGATATAAACTTACTGTTTTCCTAGCATATTCTCACAGAGCTTTTTTGTCTGTATTCTCCATTTCACTGACAGTACAGCAGCATTGTCAACCTGAAAGCTTTCACGGCACCAACTTCTCCACATTTTTTACTCGTTGTCTTCGTAGGTGTCGGTGCAGCACTTTCTAGTACTGTCACATTTCATTATGAGAAATGGGGTGTTTAGTTTGCTGCTGTTTATTTGCATAAATTTGAAGTTTAGGCTAGTTTATGCAAATCGGCAGCATCCAGCATGGCTCGGCATGCCTGGAAACTCCCCAACAAAGCGAACTGTTGTGTATCTGAAATAAAGACAGAGCAGTCACTTGCATCTGTAGCTTTCAAAAACATTTCAATGGTATAGAAAGTTAGCAAACGAGCCCCAGTGACAGTTTCTGAGAGCAGAGAGAACTTAAAGTTGTGGCAATGGCTTAGCTGTCGGCTTTTGAATACTATAGCTCAGCACCAAGCATTAAAAACACACCTCTGTGGACACTAACCATCAGTGAGCAGCGAAGGAAGTAAAAGCCAGACCAAGTGTGAGAATCTGTTGTGTCGTTTATGTCGTAAAATCATAAAATGACTGACAAGAGACAAAAACTGACGACGTCGCTGCTGTCTCGTTTTGTTTGGCATGAATATGAGCACAATTCAGAAAAAGGGACAGTCGACTGAGTGTGTGTCCACAGAAACAAACTAAAATAGACACTGTGTTTAAAAACTGCACAAGATATAATCTCTCCTCATGATACTTGTCAGCTCTCAGTGAAGGTCTCCCTAAACATTTGGAGTCTGCCTGGTTCTGCTGGAGGTTTCTTCCTGTTAAAAGGGAGTTTTTCCTTCCCACTGTTGCCAAAGTGCTTGTTCATGATTGTTGGGTTTTTCTCTGTCTGTATTATTGTAAGGTCTGCCTTACAACACAAAGCACCTTGAGGCAACTGTTGTTGATTTGGTGCTGTATAAATAAAACTGAATTGAGTTGAATAGTGACAGTGGCTCAGGCTTGAAAACCTGCTCTATTACCACTTCAGAGGGATTTAAGACAGTTATTTGAAAACATTGACCTTTTCCATTAACTACTGCCATTCAACAATCCAGTACTTATTACCATAGCAGCACCATTAGAATTCGTGGCAACCACATTCGGCATTCCCTTTGAAATTATCATGGTACACCTAGGATTATTATCGAGAGATCACAGGCGCTCTAGGAAGCATTTAGGCGCTCAGAAATTGCTTCCTTAGCTGGCCTGCAGTTAGGCTTAGATGGTCTTTTTCCAGCATTGTGATGATTTTTTTTTTATCTTGTTTGTTTGTTTGTTTTGCTCTTTCTGAGCCATTCAAGCATGATTTTTTAAGTTCTTTCAGTTAGCTTCCAGTTAGATTCCTTAAACAAGGATTTGAGGGTGTTCTGGTCCAGTTTCATTTGAAGAACTTTCTTGAAAAGGAGACAGAAATCTAAACTGGCACACCTGCAGTGCTGCAACCGACACCTGTGAGAATATTGCATAGTGCATTGTGTTTTTCCAACATTCCAGTTGTAGCTAAATGTTTCATAATAACCAGGAACAAGGTAGCGAAACGTAAGATAAGAAACGCTATCACGTTCAGTGATCTTATTAAGCACTTCGTCCCAGTTTAACCTTGAGAGCATGTGCAGAATCTGCTGAAGGTTTAACAGTTTGTTCTGTTTATTTGAATGTACAGCTGCTGAGCACAAGGACTTGAACACAAGCATGAAATTTCCCCTCTGTACACTTACCTCTGAACACAAACACACATCCACACATAATGGTAAATGGCCTGTATTTATATAGCGCTTTACTAGTCCCTAAGGACCCCAAAGCGCTTTACATATCCAGTCATCCACCCATTCACACACACACATTCACACACTGGTGATGGCAGCTACATTGTAGCCACAGCCACCCGCACTGACAGAGGCGAGGCTGCCGGACACTGGCGCCACCGGGCCCTCTGACCACCACCAGTAGGCAACGGGTGAAGTGTCTTGCCCAAGGACACAACGACCGAGACTGTCCAAGCCGGGGCTCGAACCAGCAACCTTCCGATTACAAGGCGAACTCCCAACTCTTGAGCCACGATCGCCCCATAATCCATGATTGTACCTGTCCTGCTGTTTTTGGAACAGAGAAAGGATCCCAGTATATTGGTAGCCTATTGTAAATGAATCCAGTATAAGTGGGAAAAGAGATAAAGTCTTTAGTTCTGCTACAGTTTTACCGAACACTCAATGAGGAAAGAAAAGAAGACCACTTTTGATGTCTACCGCATTTTATGTTGTGGGTGCGTGTTAAAAGTGGGAATTTGCGGTCAGAGATAACCAGCACTGAGTGTGATTCTCCACTAAAAGAACTGAGAGAAGCTCGTTGACACCAATTCATCATTGTTTCCTGTGCCTCTGTCATAAGGCGAGGATTTTGACTGATGAGGCTCTTGTGAGTGTGTGTTTATGCGTGTGGGTGTCTGCTCTGTCTCCCAGCGTTGAGAACAGTCCTGCCGCACACATAATAACTCAAATTGATACCAAGCACAGCCCAGACAAAACTCTATTAGGGCATAAAGAAAGGCACCCGCTGTATTCCTGTGTGCCCCTGTCAAGGCAGAAGTGTGCCTTCTCATGTTTATAAAGATACCTTGGTGCTTTTGCTAACATTTATTCACGACTGTATTGCACATCTGTTGAACAGACCAATTTAAACAAGCTATGATGCTCCGTCTACTTGTTATGTGTGTGTGTGTGTGTGTGTGTGTGTGTGTGTGTGTGTGTGTGTGTGTGTGTGTGTGTGTGTGTTTGTGAGAGACTCAGTCTGATGGCCTGCAGAGTAAAAGCATTCTTCGGATTCTTCAGAAGCACAACAGAACTGTACTCGGTGTGCCTACTGCGTTGACTTTCAACACACATTGCCAGTGACAGTTACAGTTAACTGCTGCTTTTGGCTTCTTACAAGATTTACTAAAGACATTTAGCCAAAAGTAAGGAGATAAGATTTAGAGTATTTCCTCCTTGTTAAGGATAAATATTTTTTCTTTTAGTTAACACAAATAATAATACATTTCGATGATAGTGTTAGTGGACAGGAGGTTAACTTGAGTCACAGTTTCCCCTGAGACAAATTGAAAATAAACCTACAGCTAATTTGAATCAACTTTGGAGACATTTATTTACATTAGGCTTCAGTCACACAGATTAGAGACCGGTGGTTAAACCTACAACAACCTCTGGGGAGAGGGGTCGTCCCCCAGTGTGCCAAATATGTGTATTTCCCAACCAGTTGGTGAGCAGGCTGTGAAAACCTTCACATTGCTTTGGTCCCCTACAATTTGCATGGAAGATGCTGACTTGTCTGCAAACACTACTACTACTTTACTAGTCACCAACTAGCAAAACCTAAAAAAGTTGTGCCTCATTTTTAAAAGGCGCAGCTTTTACTTTGAAAGGAGGAATCTTCATTTCCAGTTTGCGTCGCTTTTTACAGTTTCACTTAGAGCACAGGTGTCGAACTCCAGGCCTCTCATCAAGATGTGTCCTTGATCCAACACAGCTGATTTAAATGGCTAAATGACCTCCTCAACATGTCTTGACGTTCTTCAGAGGCCTGGTAATAAAACTAATCATTTGATTCAGGTGTGTTCACCCAGGGTGAGATCTAAAACCTGCAGGAAACCAGCCCTCGAGGTCTGGACTTCGACACCCCTGACTTAGAGAGTAGATGGCGATTGGACGTCTTCCACACAAACTATAGAGGACAGTGGCAACTTTCTAGTGACCAAAGTAATCACATGGAGGCTTTCAGTCCAGCGCCGTATACCTTTTTGCAGTCAGTTTTGCTGAGCGATTGCCAACAACCATTCATCAAGCAGTTGGGGAATGCACATTTTTCCTGGGTTGTCAGGGGGGTGGCATCCGGTATCTGAGGTTTTTAGTAATCAGTTTCATAGACAGCTAGCAGCCTCCCACAACCAAATACCAACTGGTTGGTAACACCGTTAAGAGAACAGGTTTATGTCCCAATCCAATATTCTTGAATATCACAGTATCCCCGTTTCAGTCGTTCCTGTGAAGTTAGAAACACTGAAAACTAAATGCAGGCAAGCACAACGAGCACTTTTTGTATGTTTCTTGTTTTTTCCCCCCAAAAATGAAGTTGAATATACTGAACTTGAATTTTTTTCATCATCATATTTTGAAGGGCCATGCTTTACAACTGAAATGCCAACATTTTGATTCCCGGTCGATCCCCCTGAACCCGAATAAAATGATTAAACATAAAGGAAGCAACCATTAGC